GGCCATCGATAACTCGTCTGACACCGGTCGTTTCCACGCGGCACTCACACGGGATGATTCTAGTGCTATTTCAATATCAATACTTGTTTTGTATTTAAAGTTGTTCAGGGCATCTTAAGGCCACACCCAGATGACATAAAATACAACACCAAGACTCGAGACTTTTGTTTATAATCTTAACTTTTATTGAATTCGTTTATTAAAAAAGTTAGAATTTAAAGAAAAATTATGAGACGCCATTCGTCTCATTAATAAAATTAACGCTTATTAAGTAAAATAGGTTAGTGGTCCATAGATCATACTCTCTATGATTGCATTTAACAGTTATTACTTGAATCATATCATAGGAAACATCTTATATTTATAAAAATCAAAACTAGTTACCGAAACTGATGTCAGAGTTAAGAAAATTTTATACCTATGTCCGTTATAAGTATGTCCTATCTATATCATTAGTTTAAGGCTGAAGAATTTTTATTCATATTTATTATGGTATCATATCGTAGTGGCTTATCGTTAATAGAATACAAATATTATTGATGTTATTATTTCATTGTCAAAACATTGCAATAACAACATCAATGATTGTTGCTAATAATAAAAAATACTCAAATGTCAAATGAAGTTTTGTTAAAAGAAATACAGCAAATGAATTGATCGTTTGACTTTTTTTTTTAATTATAAGAGGTATTCTTATAAATTCTATAATTTAACGGTTTGAATTGGGGACGAAAATTATTAACTTCACCACATTTTTATTACAGAAACTAGAGCTTACAGAAGAAACAATAACAGTGGATATACATCAGTTAAAATTTCAATAAGTATGTAAACGTATTTATTCATCGAATATACTTGTAACATATTATAATAAGGTGTACAAACTTTTCATAATATGGCAGCAGTTTCAAGACAGCTCTAACATTTTTCCACATTAGATTCACGTGAAAATTTCTTTTACGTAAAATAGAAATTTAAAAATGAATGTATTTATTTTACGTGTACTACACAATTTACCTAACGATACCCCTTTGACGGTCATGTAAATATGTAATGAGTCAATAAACAAACTACGAGACGTTCTTCTCGTTCGAATTTAAGTAAGCTTTTGAGACAGTCGGAGAGGCCACAACCTCTCCAGTGGCTTCTATTGCCAATTTATCATCGCATTTCTGTGTGAGCTCGATCTTTAAGGGGTGTATTATTGAATCAAGTTATAAATCAAAAATGCTATTTTATTTCTAATCGTTATAAATATGCACAAAGGTTTAATGATCATCACTGCGGTCTTTTTGTGTTGACATCACCACTTTTTTATATATGGAACTGACTAGCGCTTGACTGCCATCCCACCTGATGGTAAGTGACGATGCAGGCGTTGATGGTAAGCGCGCTAGCTAAGTAAAAGCATCACTTTGCACACAAGATTTAATTATTAATTCGACATTGAAATATTAATTAATAAATAATTCATAAGGTCTGCAAGTAGTATTTCGACTGCTGCACGTATTTCACTTCGACTGAATTAAGTGTGATTTTGACCTTTAATAATTTTCATGACTTACGAAAACAAGACACAAACATTCGACACCGACATTTTGTCGTGCATTTTCGGAATAACTACTACTGGCCAGGCGAGTTCCATCCGAGCGTTCGATTGAATACGTGCTTCACTTACAGGGACACGATTTGCCTTAATCTCGAATATCTACCTATTATATTTTTTGCAACAACAAATATGCTAACTGTTGTTTTTAATTAATTTATTCAGTTGTCGCACTTCAGTCTGGTTATTTGCATTTTTAGTTCACAAGGCAAACAAACTATGTATGATTATTAAGGACCTAACTTATTTTATGAATGTGTAACCAAAAATTATTCATATAGTTTTTTTTTTTTAACATTGCCCTCACTTTAGGATAAACGTTATCCTGTGTTATGAGGACGTTTTTACAAACATAAATTTCACGTGGACAAACACCCAGATGCGAAACAACAACTATCTGTGGGTCACTCAAATAGTTGTCCCGTGTGGGAATGGAACCCACGACCCCTGACGCCGAACCCAATACCTTGGCAACTGCGCCACGGAGTCATCAATATATAGATTTGAAATATTCATATAGATTTGAAATATCTTCTGTTATCGACTTACAGATTTTCGTAAATTTCGAAATTGAAATTTCATAAATGCCATTTGTACTACGCCTACTACATTTGCGAATTTACCTTATGCACTTTACACAATACATCAGTCTTCTTACCCTAGTTATTAACATGTTATTTAAGTTTATATGCTGCTAAACTATTGTTATAATTTTTGCTTACAATATCGTACAATCATGTTGCTCGCCATCATTTACCAATTACACAATGTACAAAATGCTAATGATTTAAACAGAATAATTATTTTAATTAAAAATAAAATATAGTAAAACATAAATACTGACTTACCAGATTGATTATTAATTTAATTATTTAATTTTAATTGTTTTCGTTAATTAGACTTAATTGTCTGCAGCTTTCAGCTAGGTATTTCAATTTGTTTCATCGCATGATGGGAAAATCCGCGATTGTTTCTATGTATTAATAAAGAAACTTTATTAATAAGGTGCGGGCAAAACCAAAACGTCTTTTCTTGATAGCTGATATATATTAGGAAGTATTAAAAGATGATCTTCTCTTTTCCTTCTAAATTGCTGACGTCCTTCAGTTTGAAGTGGTTACGTGTTTAAAGGGTACTAAACTGATATTTTTTTACATCATCTCCATGCTGGAAGTGATGCCGATTTTCTCAGTAACAAATATATAATAAAATGACAGGAATTGGGGAGCCAAACGCAATTAGTAGACGAGACATGAAAGTTAATGTCTTTAATCCTTAAGCGAATTGCAGGAGGAAATTGCGCCCCACTTGCGAGTGAATTGCTTGATTGGGCACTGGGTCGATTAGTGACAGCGTAAGCATCGTTTAGTGTAAATAAAATGACTGTGTTAGAAATTCTTTTAAGCGAGGAATTATTAGCTATGCGGAACGTGATGAGTCTTATACTAAAGTTTGTGTCATTCGACCCACTATCATCATAAATTAATGATAGTTATTAATATTAATATAAACATAAATTTATTGGAACGGTCATCGTTCCTCGTCGTTCATCATCGTCGTAATCGGAACTTCTGTGGTTTTTCCGATTCAATAATGTCATTTGTGATGATCTAGATAAGCCATATAGTGTATAGGAAGGCAACTCATACAAACAGTTATCTAAATGGTGACTCTCACCACCCTCCATACCGGTTAGCTACCGTGGGTAAATCTTTGTTTCAGAGAGCACAAGGGATCTGTGACAAGGAACACCTGGCCGCTGAGCTTCAACATTTCAAGCACGTTCTGCATGACAACAACCTTCGAGCACCTCGCATGCGTCACAGTGACCGAGTGAAACCAGCCACAGTGGAGCGAGCATCTGCCGTTCTACCATATATCAGAGGAGTCACCGACAAGATTGGCTATATCTTGAAGCGGGCATCAATTAAAACATTCTTCAAGCCGCCGAAGAAGATTAGTCAGTTTTTACCATCTGTCAAGTGCAATATCCCTCTGCAAGAACCAGGAGTGTACAAGCTTGACTGTGAATGTGGGCTCCCTTACAAAAAGGGCTATAAAAACCCACGTGAAATACCATATAGCTAACATAAAACATCACAGATTAAATAAGTTTGCAGTATTAAACAGCAAAAATTTTAAAGCTCCGCAACCATTATATCAGGTTTGATAGACCACAAATCCTTGCAAAAGAACACCGATTCCTCCCAAGGATGATTCATGAGGCTATTTAAATTAAAAACACCCAAATTTCAATAGAGAAGAAGGTTAACTATTGATTATTAATAAGATCTAGGCCCAAACAAAACACTACTGCAAGACAAAATAAAATTGTTCTGCGTAGATAGACACAAAAATTAATAGTTTAAAAAATGGCGGTAGCCCAGATTAACAATGACACTCAGATGTCCAACGCCTCATTAAATGGAATATAATATACTTATATAATGTTTTTTCCTTACCAATTTCAATGTAATTAAAATACGAGTACTGTGCGTATAAGCGAAAACAAAAATATCACGAGTGACGGTATAAAGTTTTCGAGAGACGTAAATTATATTCGATATTACCAAAATATTATAATTAAATAAGTATGCAGAAGAATGAAGGAAAACGCTTGCGTTATTGCTCTACCTACTCGTACAACAGAAACTGGTAAATCCAGGAGTGACGCATGCAAACAAACCAGATAGAAACATTTTATTTATACTTTGCAGTAGCTATAGTCAATACGGATAGCAAACGAATCATTGCAACTGCCTGTGTATTTTTTTTATTTTATTTAAATTAATATTTTTTAATAATTGAAAAATTATTTACATATATTTTGATACAAAGAATTAAAAAGACTTTTTTTATTAATTTCAAAGGATTACCAAAGGAATTACCATTATTAAATAATTCTGCTGTTCTTTGCGAAGTTAGAAACTGCGAAAGTTTACATATTGCAAATAATTATTTTCTATTGATATTTATATATATTTCTTATTTTAAATATAGCAGAAAAAAAATATGCTTTGAAATTAATTTCTATCGAATCAAAGGTGATTCGATCAATAAACGCAAGAGCGCTAAATGTAACTCCTCACAGTGATTTCATAAGGCATAAAGGAGTTTTATAGTTAATCTTGAAGTCGAATAGCAATTTCGTAACGCTTGCTTAGTTAAGTGTAATTTTCCTGTTATTAGCGCTGCTGTCCGTACGGCGCGAATCTTTGATATGTTCATATAAATATACTGAAGTTGACCTCTAAGATCCAGTGTAGTAAAACAGACGAACGCGGCATCTCCTTCGTTTTGTTAAGTTTTTTTTACGCCAAAGTTTTTAAGGCAGTTCAGTGATGTCAAATAATTGAGATTTAAAAGCATATTTAAAGTGATTGTATTATCGGAAATGAAGTGCCAAATAGTATTGTTTACTTTGTCACTCCTTTGGAATTGTGCGGGTAAAGGTCTTTTTAAGTAATTTAATGTCAACTTGAGTGTTTTAGTGAAATGATACGACATCGTGTTTAATTGCGTTTAACTTCCTTGTGTTGGCAATAAAATTATCTTTCGGTCAAAGATCAAGCCGTTTGCAATGATAATCGTAAATATATATTTATATATATATATATTTATGATATAAAATAACGAATTAGAAATGCCTTTTGTGGTAAAAACAGAATTCAGATCGACCATTAGTGGCATTGTATTAATGGCTATAGGAGAATAAACTGGATTTATTTGTAAATGTATAGTGGCCGTTTTTTCCTGTTAAATGTGACCTATAAACCTGAGACAAAAACTTGTATTCAAACCAAAAAAAAAAGCAAAAAGAACAAGCCTCAACGATGAAATACATATAATATGTAGTATTGTATGGACTATTTTGTTCACTAGGAAACCAGCTGAAATAATTCATTATTATGAATTAGATATATTTCAACAAGATATGTCAAAAACTAAAATCATTTCGGTAGCGATACCTAGTGGAGATGTTTTCAATGATTGCTGTGTAATATTTGTTGTTTGTGTTCTACCTTTTAGGTTTTTCATTTCATAAGAAAAAGTGTAGTTATCTCGGAAAACTAATGCTAGGCTCGTCTGTTGTGAATTATTTTATAATCTGGCCAAAAAGCATGAATGAACTTTAAGTTTAAGTTAACTGACATCTCTTATTGCAATATAAATATTTAAGTTACAAGCAATAATGCTTTTTACTGCTGGCAGATGTTTTATTTGGTTTTTATAAAGCATCACAGCATCTATTTGAAGTGGAAGACGGAATCATAAGTAACCTAAAATTCTGGACTTACTTTATTGATAAATCCACTTGTTCATTAAACTGCCTCAGTCGTGGGAAAAACCACTTATCTATTCGGAGAACTTTTAAATTAAGAAAAATATTTAGCTCCATAAGCTACATTTCTATAAGGATGATTTGTTACGGCCAACATGTTATATCTTCTCGTGACAGTCGTATTAAATCTGACGTTAGTAATAATAGTAGCAAATTTGCCATTAGTTTCAGAGACATGCGTGACACCGCTTGGGGCGAGCAGCACGTGTAAATCCCTCTACGACTGTAAGACTCTGCTGTCCGCCTTTGAACAACGTCCGTTAAGGAACGACGTAGTTAGCTTCCTAAGACAATCGCAATGCGGATTCGAGGGCTATGTCCCGAGAGTGTGCTGCGGTCCGCTGCCTAGTCAGAAGCCAACTACCACGGTAGTATTTTTTCAAACACTGATATTATAATTACGGTGGTAGGGCCACGCAGCAGCCACGGGAAGACCGCCGTAAAGTGGAAGTATAATAATTTGCGGTCCAACTAATGACAAGGTTAACTGCTAATGACTAACTGGCTTACAAACAAGCTCTGACTTAGGATGAGATTAAAGACTACTTACTAAGAAGGCCATAAACAATGAAGATAGTGCTTTGCTACTCCATAACAGAATAATCTTTACATATTATTCAGATCGATATTTTTGCTACATATTTTAATGTTCAATCTTATGTGCAAAAATTAGCACTATAAACAATTTAAATTTCTAAAAAAGGAATGGCGACATCTCTTGTTAGAATTATCGTTGTAAAACGATATCCGAAATTGTTTGTATGTTGAAAAGGATATAACACGGGTGCGCCAAGCATTCAGCCGTTTAACTTAGTGGTTAAAGCGTCAGGCAGCGAATGCCGAAGACGTGGGTTCGGTACCCACAGCGGCCACAATCTTTACGTACTTTTTCTACATATTTTAATGACAAAAGCCTGTATTATTCTGGTTCTTCTTTTGTTCTAAGTGGATACAATTCGTCATTAACCCAACCATGAGCGAAGCAGACGTGACTTACACAAACTTTGTTTACCTAAAACTAATACTAAACTTATGAGCAAGAGTATACTCTGCATGGCACCAAAAATATATAATAGGCTCCCGAAAGAAATAAAGGAATTAAACACAAATCTGTTTAAGAAAAAACTACGCGACATGTTAACAGAAAAATGTTACAATATAAACGAATTTTTTTCAAATTACGTTACAATATAAACGAATTTTTTTCAAATTAATAATCTAAACTTATTCAGTGAATTAATAATGTGGAATTTTATCGAACGTTTTTATTTTTTAGTCATTTAATTATTTGTCATTTTGTTTTCTGTTCTATTATTAATGTTTGTTAAGTTACTTTTTTCATAGACATATGTTTTGAATACTTTGTTATATAATTTTTTATATTTTATTTTATGATTATAATAATTAAGAAAGAGAATGTATACTGACAACGATTAAGCGAACATATCATGTTTGCACACCCTACAAAATGGGTAGAATATAGCGATAAAAATTACTGTACTGTACACCTCATGCCTAACCTATATTTCGCAAATAAATACATTATTATTATTATTAACTATAAATTTTAAGGTTCTATACCCAGTGAAACCTGATAGTGGAAAGCGTAATTCCCAACTAGGTACAGAAGGTGACTAGTCACTTTACAAATTATTTATTGGACCTGTAACAAAATTTAATTTGCCAAACTTTAATAGAGGTATTTTAACGTGTATTCAGTTAAATATACATATATGCTAATGTGATTCAAAATATTTTTACAGGCTGCACCTCAGACGACAAAACCAACATTAATATTTGGTGGAGCCGTCGATCCAGTGTCGTCCGAAGATTCCTTACCAGCGCCTTCGGGCCAATGTGGCAAAGACTCGAACGGAGACAGAATATATGGCGGACAATTTACAGACTTGGGAGAATTCCCGTGGATGGCTTTACTTGGATACCTCACAAGTGACTTGTTTTTGTATTTTGTTTAACGTTCGTGTTATTTTATTATTTAACATGTTCTGATATATTTTTTTAAAATTTCAGAGGAAAATAAGATGTCTTATCAATGTGGCGGAGTTCTAATAAATAAACGATACGTGCTGACCGCTGCCCATTGCACGGTTGGAGAGATAGAAAATGCGGTTGGGAAATTGTAAGTCTAATAAAACTAATAATTTTTAAGCTGACGATAGCATAAGTTAAAAATGACGGCAGGACGCGTAACATCTCAGTATAGCCCGTGACCACAAATGCCTTAGATGTTACTTAAAATATTCTTGTCTTTCAATTTTTTTATAGACAATCCGCCCGATTAGGTGAATATGATATTCAAACGGACGTGGATTGTATTGATGGTGAATGCGCCGACCCTCACCAAGAAATTGCTGTAATGGCAGCTTATCCCCATCCTGGCTTCGTTGATGGTAAAGTAAATAGAGAGGATGATATCGCGTTAGTAAGACTAGCCCAACGTGTCAAATATACCGGTAAGTAATTTAAATAAAACATTGCACGAAATAACAATAATATCTAATTTGAAAACTAACTTTCTTGTTTTCTTATTATAATTCCAATTTTAGTAGCCCAGGTGGGTTACCGGACAAAATTATCCCGTTTGTTATATTTTATTTATTTAACTAACTGGAAAATTCCTCACTGGGATTAGCTATTATTATACTAAAACAATTTATAGAAAATTATTGGATATAAAATTCTATGTTTGACTTAGTTTTACATGGGTTCTTATTTTTCATTTGATTTTTTACAGATTTCGTTCAGCCAATCTGTTTAGTTGATACTAGCTTGCGTTTGGACGCAGGCACTGACGTTTTTGTAGCTGGCTGGGGAAAGACCTTACTGGGTAAGTTTTGTGCTGTCTTGTTTTAAATTGGTCACAAATGAATAAACGCTTTATATGTATAATAAAACTAAGCTTATTATTTGTTCCATCTAAAAAGTATAAGATTACTAACTTGTGTCTTGAGAATTTTTTTTTGTGTCTGTGTGACTTAGTGTCTTCCAAAAAATGAAATACAATTATTGTTTAAGATGTGACAAAACTTGCCAACAGGAACTCGCAGCCCGGTAAAACTGAAGCTGGGTATGCCCATATTCAATAAATCAGATTGCTTGAAAAAGTACAATAAAGTTGGAGCCATGCTAACGGATAAGCAGATATGCGCTGGCGGTGCATTCGCTGAAGACGCTTGCAGGGGTGATTCTGGTGGTCCATTAATGAGGTGGAGGCCTAACGGAGTTTGGGAATCAGTTGGCGTAGTCTCATTTGGTTACGGGTGTGGTCGTGAAGGATGGCCCGGCGTATACTCGTCTGTAGCTAGTTACTTACCCTGGATAAAAACCACAATGCGTTCTACCAATGTTTAGTCAAATGAATTAAAATACAACTTGTCTGATTCCAAAGGGTGTACATTTGTGAAATGCTTAAATTCCCATGTCAAGGGATACTTTAATAAATTGTATACGTCCTGGACTGCTCCTTAAGCCACATGTAGACGTTTTATTTTATATTCCTTTATATTCATATTTATCGGGAAGTCGCAGCAATTGATTGCTAGATAATACACTTTGTAGAAATTAAATTACTGCTGCTATAAGACAGCGGCAGAAAAGTCAGTGAGTATATACCTGGTGAGCGTCTAAAGTATGGAACTAAAGAGTTTAATGATGCTTTCTTGAGTATGTATGTGAAAGGAAGAATTCCCGCTGGCTTTGGGATATCTTTCTTCTTATATATATATATATATATATATATAAGAATAAGCGTGACCGTCAGATCGGCTAATTATTACTGAATTATCTCTTACTAAACCTGTAAAATTGGGATGCACAACTACGTTTTACAGACTTAGTCATCTTACGTACATCTTAATATGCAAAGCTATTTTGAGCTAAAATATTCAATTAAGTCTACGTCTTTGCTGCTTTGCCGTGTAGTCTTACCTACAGGGTGATTTTATTTACGACGGACATATTAACAGATCATATGCAGAATTTGATTCTAAAGCTGAATTTGGTACGAACCTGTGACCTCAACAATGTTTGAATTGATATTTTTCTGGTTATTTTTTGTCGAAATAAAATATTAATATTTTTTTGAATTATGGAATGCTCAATTAATATTAAGTCAAAGTACTTCATCTAAAAAGCACCCTCTATATTTAAAGAAGGCAACCTATCGACGATGTCAATTTAAATTTATCCAGACTTAAGCTATATACCTACGACTGTTTCTTACACCGGTGTTAATGCGAATATATGAGGATAACTTATTTTTTCCTCGGGAAATATACACACTTAATAATCAGCCGTGTAAATCATTGTGGTTAAGCCCAATGTAACGAAAACAGAGGTTTTAGACACAACAAATTCTCCATTACTGATAAAGGATGGCAAAGACGAAGTCAAGAATGTAAGAATACAAATAAATTTGACAATGAGCAAAATAACAGGGACGTGTATTAATAACGAAGTCAATAGCAAAATAGGTGCCAATGCAGCATTATTTGGTAAAGTTTGTTTCAAGTGCTGCGTTCGCACGGTGTAACACTATCCAACAAAATTATAAAATAAAATTATAAAGATCTCACCACACCATAGGTTGACTGGCAGAGAATGCCTAGAGGCATTAAGTCCGCCTATTGTGTTCCGTATTAAAGGAAATGCAATAAAGACTAAATAAATAAATAAAATATCCAATAGCTCGCACCCTGTATTTGTTCTTTCAACGCATCTTCTTAATGCATCGGAAACATGTTGATGTAAACACATTCCCAAATTGTATACTGAGAGCGAAAACAGTGCGGAGTATTTCTGTGGCATGAAGGTGCTGAAACAACATATAAGGAGTTGTGGCATTAAATTTTAAATTTGGGAGATTGTTCTTTAATATCAAAAAATTAATGGGAAGGATATTGAGGTTAATAGATACAATTTTTTCCTATTCATTACATTATGTTAAACATTTTAAATATTCAGAAGTATAATTATATATTTAATATTTGCCTCCATTTGGTACGTAACTAACTAGCATCGATTTCTTTAAAAAACATTTTGGGGAAAGTTTTAATGAGCCTGGAAATAATCCAGAAGAATATAATACGAATTTTATTTCTTCTTAATTAATTATAATTGTTTATAAACCTACAATTATCTTACATGCTTATTAAGTGTAGACTTTATAACATTATAGGGATTTTATAAATTTTACAGTCCTATATTTATTACTTGCAGATCAAGGTTAATCCATAGATATTTTGACTTAATATGTGAACTTTTAAAGTAAGTTTGATACCAAAAAGCCTTCGTATTATATATGTATGTATGTACTCGCGTAAAAATTCGTGTAAAAATTAAATTAGACGCATTGAGACTGATATGTACGAAACAGATGCTACAATTTTATTGACATATTTTAAGTATAATAAATTCATTTAAATTCCACCGCCAACAAAAGGTGTTATAAATTCTAATTATATTATCAAACAGGGGAAGGAACCCAAAGGCCATCCCATATCCCCATACTCTACGAAACAAAGATATTCAATTAGTCGTAGCGTATCATTTGCATATAGGTGTCACCGGCAATCAAATTAAGTGGAGCAGTGACAATTCTATGCGCATAATTAAATCATTTACCCCCATAAAGTTAGGCGTTTGGTGACTGAATGTTGTCGTGAATTTTAAAATGGTAAAGAAATTTAATGGCCCTTTTTTAACAATGCATCGTAAAACGATATTATAGAACTTTTTTTTCTACATGTATACATATATCACATATTTGTTGATTTATCCAAGTCCAAAAAATATATATTCGATCTAAAATTGTATTGTCTTTTCCGACTGTTCCTTCAAAAAATTTTATGGTTCAGTTTTGTTATATTTTAATAAAAATTTGTAACAAAAAAGTTATCAGAATATCACGTTATAAATCAAATCGTTTAATGCATTCATTTATTCCTTTAGGAGATAACAAATACGAGTAGGGGAAACTCCAATCGGAATCTAAAAATTACGACAGTTTAAAAGTAGGCGCCATTTACATGAAACTACTATATTGGAAATGATATACTCTCAATGTACGCCCCATTTGTTTGTTTCATATAAAATATACGCCCGTATTTGCTATATTGATGGAACCAACCCTCAGTGTTATTTGTGTGAAATGTGCCGTCGCAGTTTTCATACCTTTATCTCGAGTTTGATGTTGGGTTTTTTGTAGCTGTCATTTGGGATTTACTATTGATAACCTACGTAAAGTTTATCGTATCGTTTATCGTGTTATGTCCGAGGACTGGTCACATAAAATTTAAAATAGATATGTGTGTAAGCTCTCATTATTATAACTTTTATAATATTACTGTGTAGAGTTTATGCTATTGCATGTACGGTCTGTCAGATTCAGGGAGCACCACGGCTTTAAAGATTTAAGCATAAATCCTTCTGCCTTCTGCTGGGCAGACCCGCATAAGACAAAAGTATTTATGCTTTTGTATTTCATGCGGTGACTGAAGTCTTTACTTGTTTATATGACTGATTTTAATTTTAGTCCGTAGATTATTGAAGCTTTATCGAAAGCAAAGGTCTTGGAACATCTACCATGATCTTAATACGACCTTCTGCGTTGCGTAGAAATAGAAATTGTCACCAACAGACCGCCGTAGTTCGGTCAGTACCGTGACCCCATTGTAGTTGACTGTATTAATCGTTGGCTTGGGGTGCTGAACCGTCCTTTACGGAACATTTTGCTATACGTGCAAAATCGTCCATCATTATAAATTTTCGACGGGTTTCATTTTGCTCGTTTACGATTACTAATTATTTGGTTGTGCGTGTCTATCGATGTGTATTGTTGCCGTTGTCTCGGAACGTTTCACTACTACAGCGTTTAGATTTAGTTTGTAATTTCCTGTGAACCTGGTGGCATGAAGATCACTATAGATTTGAGATTACTTTCATCTATCTCGAAGAACTGTTTTGTAATATCTACACAATATAGTCGCGTAACGTTGGTAGACGAGCAGATTTTTTGATACCACCTTGCATTGATAGCAATGCAGTTAAATTTACTTTGAAATACCTGTTTTTTTTTCAGATATGTGTGCGAAAGACGCGTAAGTGTAAGAAATTGAGCATGTATGAAAGCTTTGTATAATAAAAGTTTATGCTTTAAGGCATTTTGATATTAGATTATGACGGACGTGTACAATCCGCGACCACAAGCTTAAAGGTTGTGTTTGGAAACCTTACTACAACTTCAGGAATTTTTGTGGACAACAATGTGTGACAACAATCACAAAACATAAGGTAACAGTTATAGTCAATTGCATGTAAAATGCAATTATAAAAAAAACAATTGTCCGTAGCTTAGTAGTAATTCCTTCAAAAATGTTTTTTTTAATTCATTAGAAAATCTAATTCTGGACTGGTGAACCAGTGAGTTAATTTTTTATACATGTGAACAATATGTATGTATAAAGTTCTATATTGTGTACGCGATGTCACATGCTAATAAATACTTCAGATAACCTTAGAGATATGTCCCGCACGATAAATAGAGTCGCGTGTTAAACGCTTATTAAGTAAATGTTTGAACACAACACATGGATACCTCAGGTTTTTAATAAAACACCAATAGTCATTATAAATGGACAATCGAGATATCTATCGGCTTACCTATAAAGGCTTCACATAAACTTTGTAACCACATTTGTTTTCAAGCAAAGTCGACATTACCATAAAATGAACATTTCAGCCAAAGTATTTTTTCCTTTAACATTCATATTATTTGAAGCAATATGCACTGGAATCTATGGAAAAGTAAGTGTAGAAAGCTATTTAAAGTATTTTATGATTGTCAATATAATTTGGAGTCATATCTCATTTGGAAAGAAGAGAGATGATTAAAGGTTAAAAGTCAGTAATAATATTTTGATACTATTTATCGTTATTCATTTCAAGAGTTTACTTACGATTTCTTGGTAAGATTGGTTTTTATTATCAGGGCCAGACATATTATAGATAAACCAAATTTAAGTCTTGAATGAAAAAATACGAACAAATTTTTTATTTATAAAAAATAAAGTTACCTATATTTTATTAAATTTTATTTTCACAACTTTTTAGGACTTCAATTTTTTTGTTATCGAATACCATCTACAGTTAGTTTATTATTAGGACAAACTAGATTTGCCTAGGCTAAACTAGTTCTTACTACCAGTTTATCCTAGAGTGAGCGTATTTATATCTGGATCAACTAGTTTGGCCTAGCCTAAACTAGTCTATCCTATCAGGCTTAGGACAAATTAATTTGGACTAGCCTAAACTGGTTTATCCTATCGGGCTTGGGCTAAATTAGTTTGGACTAGGCTAAACTAGTTACTCCTATCGCTTATAGGGTGAACTAGTTTAGCCTAGGCAAAACTAGTTTGTCCTGAAGTCGGGTTTCGCCGGTAACATATATATAGATAACTAGAGAAAGAGAAAAAATGGGAGAAAGGTTTTCCGTCTTATTGTTAGGAAGAAATTATCAGTCTGTCTGTCTATCTGCCTACTGGTCCGTCTGTCACCAAGCTGTATCTCATGTTATGTTGTCGCTATAGCAACAAATACTAAAAGACAATAAATTTAAGATAAATTTAAGCAGGGCTCCCATACAACAGACAAAATTAGATTTTTTTTTTTACAGTTTTAAGATAGTGTACGGAACCCTTGGTGAGCGAGACCGACTCGCACTTGGCCGGTTTTTTTATATCACTATTTACTTTCCTTATCAAAGAAAACAAATGTCTCCGTTATACATAATTTAGAATTGTAATAAGATTGAATGTGAAAATGTCTTCAAAAATAAAAGTCTTAAAAAGTATTCGTCATATTTGTTACAGATTTTTTTATTATATGTAGAACACATTTATTTTCTCTAACAAGAAAAGGAATCGCACTTAATAAATAATAAATATATTTCTCATATATATTCTTAAGTTTCTTCTATAATGTATAATCTCTTAAGTTTATTCTATAATGTATAATGTTTGAGGTCTCCGTGGCGCCAAGGTATTGGCTTCGGCGTTGGGGGTCGTGGGTTCGATTCTCACACGGGACAACTATTTGTGTGACCCACAGATAACTGTTTCGCATCTGGGTGTTTGTCTACGTAAGGATAATTTTATCCTTAAGTAAGGCCAATGTTGTCCAAAAAATGAATTTTACCTCAATGAATCAATCAATGAACTGGAAATGTTATGCAAACAGATTGTTTATGAGGCTGAGTTTTCCGAAGATTTCAAAAGCTGTAAGGGATTCGAAAATAAAAATATAAAGTGCGATAGCTTCAAACTTGGCGTGGTAGGTGGTAATGAAGAGGAATACAGTAATCTCGGTGTAAACGGAGAGCTTGAAATGTTGAGAAGTGTGGAGAACGGTTATTCGGTAAGTTCAATATAGGTTACTTTGATTCTCTTTGTTCGTTTTATGTCAATTATTGTCGACAGGCGAAACCGTTAAGCTTAGACTTATGAGCAAAAATGTAATCAATCGCTTTGCTCACTTGCTTACTAAATGATAATTTGATTTCTTCATGTTTTTTACTACTTTACTAACTTTTTAATGTTGACAAGCGAGCAGGCGGTTCACCTGATGTTAAGTGAATACCGCCGCCCATGGATATCTGCTACACCCGAAGGTTACAGATGCGTTGACAACCTTTTGAAAATTGGGCCATTGGGCTCCGGCTACCTCACTCACCAGGCGAAACGTGAAAGTATTTGTCATACTTCCACTTTAGGTGAGGTTGTGGTACTTACCCAGACGAGCCTGCCCATACGTGCAACAGCCAAGGCTGCTACGTGGCCCTACTATTTTCTTTCTACAGTAATTTTCATTGTATGAAACCATGTGGAATTTTTATGTGAGTTGGTGGCAATCCTGTTCACCTGAAGTTAAGTGATAACCGCCCCCCGTGGACATTTGCAACACCCGTGTGGTTGCCACCGTTTAATAAAGTGGACCACGGCGACCTCACTCACCAGACGAAACGCAGAAACGGAACACTTTCACTTCACGCCAGTCTTCGGTGAGGTCGTGGTACTTCCCCGGACGGACCTGCCCATTCGTGCAAAAGAGAAAATTGTGAGCGTGGCCCTACCACTGTGATAAAAAAATGATGGATTTATTGTGCGTCTAGTTACCTTTACATTAAATTTGTAACAGTTTATAACTGTCCTAACAACTCGTGCCCAGAATAAAAGCACGTTTTATTCAGTCAATCGAATGATCTTATTTTGAACAGTGTACATAGTAAATTTGTTATTTCCCTTGGTAATTTATTGCAAAATTTTATAGACCACCATCATGTAGCAATTTTTGTACATCAATTTAATCTTTGTTTTGCCATTACCAACCCATCTCCGAATTGGCCATTGAAATTGCTATGCTTAACAAGAAGATGGCTATTATTTCATACAGAAAAAGCTTTGCACACATACCAATGAAAGTTAATATATCTAGTTTATGAAAAAGCGTTCTACAGCTTGGCTGGACGTTAAAAATTGCTAGTGTACGCTTGTTAGGGTTGAAAATACTTAAATTATGTGCACTTCGCAACATAATGAAACCTTAACGATAAAATTAAACTGATGATCAGTGATATGCGACTTTTTGCGAAATTAATTTTGTCAGTTCTACGAGTAGAAATATGTTTTTGTATATATTTTTACAAATGCATATATTATGTATTTCTACATATAGTCTAAATTTATTCCGAAGAATATTGTTATATAAATCAGTAGTTTCATTTTACAATGATTTTCTTTTTCCTATTAATATACTATTATATTTGTATTTCCTTATTAATATACTAAAGATTTTTAGACAATGATACAAACAATTTGCCGAATGTACTCATTAACTGTTTTGTATATTTTGTTATGAAAATTAATTTTTAAATGTATTTATGTCTAATTGGTGTCAATTTTGGTTTCTTTACATATGTTAAAAGATAAACTTAGAAGTTTGGAAGCTTTTGGATATCGGGAAAGAATTTTCATTTGCATCAGTTGGTGATATCTGCAAAAGTATCAAGAATGAAGATGCGCCGTGGTATCCTCTTATACAAAGTATGAATGTATCTGATTGTCCTATTCCAGCGGTAAGTTATGTTTTTGAAGACAAATTTAAATAAACTACTTTTATTTTTCATTTATTTCAAAACGATATTGCTGAAATATGTTTTAAGTAGTATTTATTATCGCTAGCAATTTTCAGTAAAAACACAAGAAACGTGTATTTATTTTTTTTTTCCTTTCCTTTTTCAGAAAACTTACTCCATATCAGACTTATTAATATCATTGGAATTTGCTAAAGATCTCCTATGTCTGGAATTCTGCGGCGAGTACGAGGTGCTGTTTTCGGTGTTGGATGAGAAAGAAGAACAGTTGTCGTGTTACGTTCTAGGTATTTCTATCACTGAAGTTGAAACGGACGACTAGAGTGAACAAAAATACTAATAAAAAAAACTGAACCCTTGACAGTCATCACATTTTTATTCATTAAATTTCTTTTTTCCTTTTTATTTACCTTGAAATAATAATTATGTAAAAACTTCAAAGCGAAATACTGAGTAGTAGCAAAGAAAAAAGAATTATACGTTTCGTCTGGTGAGTGACGAACCGGGTATGTACCCTTTTAGGTATTAGGTATAACACCAAGCAAGGGTACCTATCCTTTTAAAAGTATAACAAAACGCAACAGTGGTACAGAACCATCCGCCCATTTGCAATCTTCTTAAAAAAATTACAGATGCCACGTAATTTAATTGGTAGTATATACAGAGATATGTTTATTATATTTAATATATTGCTATGGCTAATCACATTTCCCCGAGATAAATTTATCAGATACGGGTTGAGATGATGAAAATGAATGTAAAGAACGAAACGAACCCGCCGCTGGGGATTTTTGCTGATATCAGTCGATCAGTTGGTATTTTTCCAGTGGCAGTGGTTACCTGTTATGGGAACCACCACCTCAAAATTATTATTTTTCCTTTCATTCGTTAAATAGCTTTATTGTTATAATTGCGGCCTTGCTTGCTTCTCGATTTAGTCGTTAAAACTCACTTAAACTTCTCAATCTGTGTAGTTATATAATAAACCTAATATCTACTGACTGATTGCAAGCTTATAAATTTAAACGGTTTATTTAGAGTCGTGGAATGTTTCACAGAAGTGTTGTTTTCTAAGTAAGTTAGGGTTCCGTACCCAAACAATAAACGGGATCCTATTACTAAGACTCCGCTGTCTGTCTGTCTGTCATCTCATGATGAATAGTTAGAAAGTTGAAATTTTCTCAGATGATATATTTCTTTTGCCGCTATAACAACAAATAAACTAAAAAAACGCAATAACTAAATATTTTAATGGGGCTCCCATTAAACGGACGTGATCTTTTTACCGTTTTTATGGATAATGTTACGGAACCTTTTGTGCGACTCGAACTTGGCCAGTTTTTTTAAGTGTGCGACACGCCTATAGATATCTGCAACATCCATGCAGTCGTAAATGTACAGGGGTGGCACCATTTAAAAAATTGGGCCCCGGTTACCTCACTCAACATAAGTATAATGGAAGTAATATTCACGCGGTCTTTGGTAGTTATCCGCACAGCCCTGTCCGTTCGTCGCAAAGGTTATTAGGTGGCCCAACCACAGATTCTTAAGTAAGAGTAAAATTAGTCCTCCGAGATAGCTTAACTTATTACTATGGTTTAACCGTAATGTACCTTTTTAAAGGATATTAATTTTAATAGTGTATTTATTCTCTGCACTGAAGATAAAATTAAATTTTTTAAAGAAAAATGGATGCAAAGTTAAATTTAAATTCACCCTTTAATATTTTAATAGCAAAGGTGTCATCTCTAGTTTTCAAATATAAAAAATGCGATAAAAAGCGAAGTAGATGAAATACGTTGAGATTTTCATCGGTGTGAAGATAAGCCGTGTAGTTCAGTGGTTAGACCGTCGGATGCGTATCTCGGGGGGACTCAAGTTCGAATCCTCGTACTTTCCTGAGTGGTCCATTTTTTTAGTCTGTTATCCAACCTAAATATTTATAACGATGCCGCCGTTCAAATAACAATCGCAGCTTGTTTTGATAATTAGAAAATAAAAAAAGGCAAACGGAGGAAGTGAAACCGCCCCGTATAAATTTATAATTGCGCCTGAGAGGGGATCGGTCGGCGTCAGGCGTTATTAACTTTTTCCAGCGCTGGCGTTCCAAACATTCCGCCCGCCGGTCAGCGCTGGAAAACTTTAAGCCGTCATTAATTTTATGGACTTTGCAATGCGGTACCGACGCCATGGCCTATACGGAAACGTAGATAATGGAGTATTCTCAAACTGCCCGAAAACCGCTCCCGCCCAGTGCAACTTTTTCAAACGAACACGCGTGTTCAGTACTTTGTCGACCTTCGTTAATTCTGCTGAATTCAATTTAAGACGTAACTAATATTCTAAAATCGTATAACGAAATCGCAACATTTTCATTTTTGTATTTCTTCATTTATTTTGTAGTGCTTGCTAAGTTTAACCTATTGTTTTAAATTATTATAGGCAATGAGGTTAAGCTATTTAATGTATGAATTTTGTTTTATTGGAATTCAGTAGCATTCATACTTTTTAGAGATATACAAATCTTGAATAGAAGCCGAAAAATAAACGTTGAATTCAAGCGAAGAGTACAAAGCCTTATTTGACTGGAATATTAAAAGACGCTTGGCTTAAGTTTGCGAAATAAATTGCTTCTAATGTTTATAAAGTTGAAGAAACATGCGTGGGAATCGCAGTTCAGAGTTCTTGCCGAGGTCACTAGCAGTGCAATGCAAATACAGGATCAGCCTTACTCAACTTTCAGCGTTTTCAAATTGTCATTTTATTCAGATTTGATCCCTACTTTCACCATATATGTTTATAAAGCTTGAATCCAAATTTTAATTGGGCATTCTGTTATAAGTTCATGGAACGATTCGATATTGTTTTCTCTTTACTGTTAAAAACACAAAATTAAATTGATGAAGTGTTTAAAACTACTCTTGTAGTTCCTATATAAGATACTTATAATTTTGTTTTAAATAAGTTAACTGTTCGAGCTTCGTGGCAGTCTGCGGGGGAGGCCTATTTTCAGCGGTGGACTCTAACAGGCTGACATGATGATGATGAAGTTATTAACCGGGATATCACTAAACGTAAAGTAAATTACAATAAATCTCGTACATATTTCTTGCAACGCGAATAGAAATTGCATTAGACGCGACGGTTTTATTGTTTATAAACATAATGCTTGTTTGTCGGCGGGGGTGTTTTCACGGTAAGATGGGCATCGTCGCGTAAGACATTGTGAGGGTCACAAAACAATGCATTTGACGTCTGTCGCGAGTCTTTACCATAAAGGAAATGCTTTAATTCGCGAAGAAGGGTTTGTTTGCGCCCAGAATATTATTCGTGGCGTTCTTACTTCTCCCGCCTTTGTTTATTTTGTTCTTGTTAGCACCTGGGCCTATATACAGAAGTGTTGTCATTTCATGAAATGTAGACCTATACTACCATTAACGTTTTGCGCTTATTATGTTAATGTTTTTGATTAGTAACATCTATCAATTGATGTGCAATAAACATTAAAAGGAATATTATATACATTACTTTATTCCGATTTATTCGATTAACGTCCCTTATTGTTTTAAATTTGGTAACAATGTAAGATACGTAATGCCTAAATTGATATATGGCAGACGAGACAGCGTGTTCTTGATTCGTTTAAAATTCTAAGGTGGATGAAAAAGGTTGCAATCTTAAATTTCCAGAATGAGGACATACGATGTTAGTTAAGACTGTTATTTATGTTCATCTTAAACGCCATAAAATTGATAAATTGATATCACTTAGAGTGCCAAAGTAAATAGAATTAAGTGCTAACTTTGGTTTATTGAAGACAGCAGTAAAAGTAAGCTCCTGTCAAATGGCGAGCAGACAGAATTGTTGACGGCGAGTCTCTATAATACGTCCAGGGCTATTATTATATATATTTATACTTGGGCTAAGTTATATTCTTCAAAAATCTGGTGAAAAAGGAAATTAATAAAATGATAACAAATGTCTGTTAAAAGTCCTTTAAAATGGAAATGGCCATATGATACACTGTAATGAGGAGAAATGGAGTAAAGATACGTCAAATTGGTAACCCGTAAGACGAGATCACGGTGAAAGAAAGACTAATTGAGGAGAGTCACGAGCAATATGCCTCAGTGGTGAGAGTTAGAGTAGGCCATTCCCACATATACCTTTCTAAGAGGCAATTGAGATGCAAGACATCTTGTTTGTGTGTAATTATTTTCTTAATTCTTAGACTTAAAGGCTATTTTATTTTGGTATGTTCGCTTCGCTTATATATAAGATGAATACAAAAAAGAAGAAGTATAGTAACATTATGGCGGCTCGTTTGACAAATTGAAAAGGCGTGTCTTGCAAGGCACTTCAATTGGGCAAGAGGGAAAATCAAAGCGGACACTCGATGGCTCTTTGGGAAATTGGCGCGTTCTAGGCAACCGCATAGTTCAGGATGGTCTTCGTAAAAAGGATTTTTCTTTAAAAAAGTGTTTACGAGTGTATGTGACAATCTCTTTCTTTTGATAAAAAGATTATTCATATTTTTAATGATGTAGGAAGAAGGCAATAAGAATTTCATTAAAAACTGTTTTTAATTTAATTGGGCGTGTTACTTATGATTATTATCTATTTGAAATTTGGCTTGACAGTGTTAGATAGGCCAAAACCTGTTGTTGTTGTAAACAAGGTTTACAACACCAACAGGTTTTGGCCAAAGCATAATATTTTAAACAATTAGGTGAACTTTTATTTTGGCATGAATTTCACACTAGTCGCTAAGTAAAGATTCACAATTTTTGTGAATATTTGCTTCGCGACTAATGCATTCGTAAAACTTTTCCAGTTATTTCCGACATATTTTGAGCAGAGGAATTGCTCATACTCTTTTCAAAGTTAAACATACGTAATGAAAGACCTCAGAGTGTGCAAAAAAAGGCCAAAAGAACGTCAAAAATGTGATAACTAGCGTGAGGGAGGTGTGAAGGATGCTTAAGAGCTCTCAATACTTCACAGAGTTTGCAATAAAATCGTCAGGCATCGGATCTGCTAACGACGCAGTCGAGGCGTCCAACTTCTTGAGTATGTCTCCCGGTTAAATATGGTGTTATGAGATTTCAAGTATGGCCTTTATTTGTCCCACGGTGCGGGTTATTTTTAGGATCAAAGGGAAGTCGTTAAAAATGAATGTTTTATTTAAGGAAACGTCAGTTAAGACCCTAACAGATAACAAAAAAGAAAAGTTGCTTTTATAGGTGGCAATTTCAAAAGTACTTGATTAATAAATTTCACTGTATTTTAAAAACTTAACAGAAGTGAAGGTTTTGAACT